GCTGGATCCGCAAGAGTCTATAGAAGAGGAATTAAAATTTGCGTGGTGCTTAGTCCATGGAGTGAACTCTTGTTGGCTACAGGACTCAGGGACTTCATGAACTTCAATTTCTAGCCCCCAGCTCATGTGGTGCCCGGCTGGAGCCTGGGAGATGGAATTTTATTTAGGGCTGGGCCAGGGAGGGTTTATAATCCAATCACCTTTAGTTTAAGGGCGGGGCTAAAATGGATTTAACCTGAGTAGCACTCCAGCACTGACGAGTGAGCACTAGTTTATGGAGTCGCGCTGCTGGGTCTCATCGTGACCTAGGTAGCCTTTCTAGTTGTGGGTACTTTTTCATTTCTTGTTTTAAACTCAGACATCCGCCTGCCTCTGCCTTCCATTGCTGGGATTAAAGGCCAGGTCCACCATCTCTGGTTCAGCTGTGGGTATTTTGGTCTCTTAGGCTCAGCTCATGTTTGAGGGTTTATAGGGACCCCTCAGATTGCCATGCTCTAGCAGCTTAGGAAACTGAGGCAGCTAGGGAAGAGGAAGGGTCTTGGGTTTGCTGGGTTTCCGCTCAGCCTTGGCCTGATACTGTAAAGGTATCCCACCCAGGACTGTCTGGGATTTGGGTGGCTCTGGAAAGTGACCTGTAGTTGTCCACTAGGGGTCTAGAGTAAATGTCCAATTTGCAACCTAGGCACCCCCAGCTCTGAGGTTTCATGCTAAGATCTGCGTTTCCAGCCCCTGTCCTGGTTCCCCTGGGCCTTGCTGAGCTCCCCCAGGAAGACTGCTGGGCTGGCTGGAACAGCTGACCATCCTACCAGCACTGATTCCTCCCCCTTTCCTCCCCTTTCTAGACTCCAAGGAGCTGAAGATTCTGAGCTGCCTAAAATGTGGTAGACAGTTTGCTGGGGCTTGGAAGCTGCTGCACCATGCGCAGTGGGATCACGGGCTATTCATCTACCAGACAGAATCAGAAGCCTCACCATCCCCGTTGCTGGACCTAGCTGCAGTGGCTGTGGCTGTGTCAGCAGCCCCAGTTGAGGACAAGCCCCCCCCAGCGAGCAGTGCTGCCCGCCAGAGCCCCACCTGCACGGTGTGCAAGAAGACCCTCAGCTCTTTGAGCAACCTCAAGGTCCACATGCGTTCACACACTGGCGAGCGGCCCTATGCCTGTGACCAGTGTTCCTATGCCTGCGCCCAAAGCAGCAAGCTCAACAGACACAAGAAGCCCCACCGGCAGCCGACCCCGGGGAGTCCTGCCGCCCCTGCCGCCAGCAGGGGGATCTCCCCAGCAGCCCCTCCAGAGCCAGCGGACCATGCAGCTGCTCCAGCCAGCACACTCCCACACCAGGCGGAGAAGGCTGGAGCTGCAGCCACAGCAGGAATTCAGGAACCTGGGGCCCCTGGCAGTGGCGCTCAAGAAGGCCCAGGTGTTGACTGGGGAGCCACTACCAAAGCACAAAGGACTGACCCTATAAAGACTGAGAAGACAACACCCAGGAAGACCCCCAAGTCCACAGGCAAGAGCCGAGGGCCTGGGGGAACCTGTGAGTTCTGTGGGAAGCACTTTGCCAACATCAGCAACCTGACAGTACACCGTCGCTCAC